CGGAATCTTCCCATTTGTTAAGGAAAATCACTCCCCTAGAAATGAGAAAAGTTAGTGCCAAATAATAATAAAAGAAAGAGGAAGTAAGTCAGTGGGAGAAAGGGCAGGTTCCCAACTCTGAGGCTTGTTAATCCTGGAGATGGGAGGCTGGGCTGGGATTTAGGTCAGTAGAAGGGACACTGGAAGGCTCAGAGGAAAGGTCAGTGGAAGGAGAGAGCAACAAAAGGACTGGGTGTAGGAAGAGGGTAGAACTGAAACAGGATGTAGGCAGTTATCAGAGACAAACTTGTGCTTCCCAATATGATTTTTAATTGGTCCTAGTAATGTCCACCCGACTGTAGGAATGGAGGACGTGTCAAGGCGAACAAGACTTCACTGTTCATTCTTTCAGTCATTACGCAAATATTAAGTACCTATTTGATGTTGGGCAGTGCACTCAGTACAATGGAGAAGAGTGAGAATAGGGTGTAATACATGATAATAGAGTGTGCATATATTGTAGGAGAAGTGAAGAAGCAACTAATGATGTCCATACCATTCAGAAAAATCTTCATAGAATGGGTGATAGTTGAATTAAGTCTTGAACCCTGAGTATCAGTTTACCAGGTGGCTACATTAAGTAGTGTTGGGATGGAATGGGGAATTAAGAAAAGAGGTAAGTAACTTGATAAGAATTAAATGTAGAGTGAATATTGAGAAGTATATAATCTATAGATTCTTACATGTGTTGATAATAAATTATTAAACTGCACAAAACAAGACATAAGAAAAAAATAATAAAATTAGGTTATCTGCAGAGATTTGAGGTAAGGACTAGGGATTTTTATTAATAGTGGAAAATTTAAAAGTGATCATTTTCATATTCCAGCAAAGAGTTATTTCTTGCCTTTTAAATATTCTAGAAAATTATATATTTTTATTTAATTTGGACATTGCTGAATGTGTAGGCAATGGGTCTCAAAGTGTGGTCCCCAGATCAGCAGTATCAGCATCACCTGGGAACTTGTTGGAAATGCAAATTTTCAGGCTGTCCTCCAAAACTACTAAATCAGATGCATTGGGGGTAGAGTCCAGCAATTTGTATTTTAACAAACGCTTTGTATGATTCCAATGAATCTAAAGTTTGAGAACCACCATAGTAGAATGTGATAAATGGCATACTGAATATTGATAGCATATTTTTTGTGTGTGTGAAAGTCAACATCTTCATGTAAAAAGTAAAAATAATTCACTTACATTGCACATTGTCGGTACATCAAATGGCTCATTGATTTCAAGCTTCTCACTGTATTTAGAATTATCTATAGGAAATCCCTAAAGATTCACAGTTCTAATAATGTCAGAAGATTCTTGTTTTAGATGTTAATCAATAGGTGTGTGAGCATGAGCAAGTCATCTATAAAATAGAAATAATAACACTTCCTTTGAAAATTAATTGTGAAATTACAAATAACATGTATAAAGAACCTGGAGCATACTAGAAACTCTAGAGGGGATTGTTGTTGTTGCTATTATCATTATTAAATTATAATTACTATTATGCATGACAATTACTCACCAGTTAGCCTTGTAAGTATGCAGATGATTAAGTGATGTGATTTGAATTTAAAACAGGATAAGCTCTTTGCTTCAAAATATCAACCCTACCACCTGTCATTGTATCAACTTCACTTCACCTTGGCTAACATATTCTATCCAATAAATTTTTATTGAATAATGGAGCGAATAAATAAATATCTTAAAGTATAATTAACAACGAGGGTAGGGGAGAAATGTTACAGTTGATACCTGTTTTCACTCACATGTCAGTGTTTCATTAAGAATAACAAGGGCTGATAGAAATGGGGTAAATTATGCATTCTCTTTAAAAGGTGGGAACAGGTAGTGAAAGCAAAAAGCGTACTTGCTAGTGGGAAGAACCTAGAAGAGAGAAAGTATTCTTGAGTGATGGTGGGGATTGAAAGAGCGAGGGCTACGCCCTCCATCTTGCCCCAGGGTAAGTGCTCTATCTTACCTTGGCCATGTGCTTGGCAAGGAGCTTCTTCCCGGAAGTCTAAGCCTCTGCTAGCCACACCCAGGAACAAGACACCGACTTGCGCCTGGCCAATCGGCAAGGCCACAGCCCTTTCTCCTCCCCTTACTCCAACCCCCTATAAAACCCCTCTCCACACAGAGTTCTCTCTCTCTCTGCTTCCTGTCGCTGCGTCGGCAAGGTGGGGGAGCCGAGCTAGCTCGAATAAAGACTCTTATGCTATTGCATCGGACTGGCTCCCTGATGTGGGTTCTTGGGGATCCTGAAATCTGGGCATAACAGGGATGTTCTCAAATGCATATTGTGTATATTTCATGTTTTTTTTCTTGAGCTTGGAGTTGGCAATGGGACCAAACATCACAAAATCTGGTCTAAAAAACCATTTTATAATATTACTTATTATTCCACTTGACTGATTTTTTATTGAATGGACTGGACTCCTTGCTTGGCTGAATTAGATGACTATTTTTGCATACCTATGGTATTTGTCAAATCATCTAGTTCCAGAAGAATCTAAAATATCTTAGCCTAGTGACTATTCTGTTTGTTTTTTTCCTGGGAAGGAAAACAGGAAGTATCCCTTCACAACTTATTTAGTTCCATATCCACTGCTCTTTCTTAGAGAACTATGTTTAGTTTACTGATTACAGACTATTTACACCAGGTTATCATACTTGGCTTTCGATAGCCAATTTTTCTAGTAGTTATGATATGCAAAATTTATTGCTTTCTGGCAGACATGGAGAATATAGAAGATATTTTAAAGATAGCAAAAAGCATTCATAAAACATGCTTTTCAATTTGGTGCACTTATTTACATCACATTTAAACATTTTTGCATTTTAAATTTCTATAGGCTAAAAGGCTTCTAAAATATTATAAGATTCTTCTTTGTTGATTTGCTTGTTACAGATATCCAAGTTTGAAAAAAGTACATGTATTTTGAAATTGGTTTATTTGAAAGTCAGATTTGTAGTTCCTACAGTTTTCATATAGGTAGCCTTTTATGACAATGAAAAAAATATTCATAGTTAGTTATTATATTAAAGAAGGAATTCCCAGAATGGAGATTGATGGGTACTGGGGAGCTAAGATTTTGTAATATTTCTGTATTGTAAGCACTATCCCTGTGTGCCCAGTAGAAAATTTTTAAAGTGTGGCCAGAACCAGGGCTGAGGTACATAGTTCCTGGTGGAAATCCCTCCATCTCCTGTAGCCAAAATTGTGCCCTGTGTGAGACTCTAATTGTCCAGAGGGGGCCTTTTTTTAAAAACCCACCCTGTGTACTGGATTATCAGTTCTATATATTCATGGTAACTGAACAACTTTTATTATTATTCTCTACAATAATTAGTTAAAGGTTAGATACTTGTGAAAGGGGGAGGAGAATTCTGTAAAGCAAGAAACTCTCAAGCTTAAAGAGCGATTCTGTTGTAGAGGAAGAGGATTTCTGACAATGGACATGAACAAGTTCTCTGAACAATATGCTATGTGATTGTACTGATTAACTTGAACTTTCCAAAGAGTTACTTTATAAGATTTTACACTTACCAAAGAGACTGACATTGTTCAAAAGCATGTTTAAAATCCTGTTCTGGAATTACCTACACATCCAATTATGAACTGGTGCACAAAAATTTCTCACGATATTTTATGGTTATACCACAGTACCCAGGTTGGTCATGGTTATACATGTTTTTTTGGTTATTAAAAAAAGTGAAGAATACTGAAAATCTAGCACTGTAGTTCTGAGAAAATTACAAAAAAAATTTCCAAAATTAGTTCTAAGCAAAAAGGGCCCTAGCTCTGAAGGTGACTATTTTGACAAAGAATGGGTAAGGGAAGTGTACTAACATTTAGTCAGTTCTTCTGAGAGGCAGTCTACCATTGTGTCTAATGAATGTGGGAGCCAGATTGACTTGCATTGAATTGAATGGAATGACAGTTCTCCAATTTATTAGGCATGTGACCTCAGAATTTCTCAATTTATTCCACAAACTATTTTTATAACTAATGCCTATACTTGTAAGATTTTAAGAATTATTTTTTGAAAAACATTAAACCAATATCTGGCACATAGTAAGTCATTAGTAAATGTTTAAATTGTTAACATTATGAAAAGCTTATATATATTTATAAACATTTGCATATACATGTTTATAAATCTATAAACAATACCTACCTTGGCCTTAGTGTGAGGTAGGCATTGTTTTCCTCATTTTTCAGATGAGCATGCACCCTGCTTACTCTGAGAGGGATTAATTAACTGGTGCGAAGTCCAGAGAAACAGTAAACGGTTGGGCCAGGAATAGAACTTAGCTACAAGTGATCAGATTTCTCCTTCCTCCTGTGTCAATTTTGTAAAATAACCAAGACACATTTTGGTGCCCTTTACTAGCCCTTGTCTACGGGCACCAGCTTAAACCCTGATGGACAGAGACTGGGTGAATCAGATCTAGAAATCTGATTCTAATAAAATTGCCAAGAATCTATCTATCTTTGATTTTGCTACTGTCAGTATTGTTCGCTACATATTTCTTTCTGTCTGCCTCTAGTTGCACAGTGGGATTGAATTTCCCTGTCCACTTTGAAGTTACACATGGCTATGTGAATTGCTTTGGCTAATGCAATAGAGATGGAAGTGACCTGGCCCATTTCCAGTAGGAGGCTTTAAAAGTCAGTGTGTGATTCAGAAATTACTTCTGCATAAGTGATTGCAGAAGTACACTGTCAAGATAGAGTTTCCATCACTGGACCGGTAATGGACTTGTAGCATGATTGAGAAATATTGCTTGTTGTGTTAAGCCACTGAGATATTAAGGTCCTTTTGCTGTAGTATAACCAGTCTGTGCTGACTGATGCAACTATCGACCAAATCTGGAACACTGAGTAGCCAGTGAAGGTTTTTAAAGCTCATTATGAGAAGCGGACGATGCTAAATCATGGTTACACAGGGCTGAATACACACCTTTTGTGCCCTCCTTTTGTCTGCGCGTTGATTTTGGTGGTAGATCCGACTGAAGTTGGATACAATCACTGGAACGGGTAGAGCAATGACCAAGACCCCACTCAACGAGCAGATGGATCCAAAAATCTTCCCTGCTATGGTTTTTGGTACCATGTCACCATACCTGGGTTAGAAAGAAAAAATATATATGTATATAGTTTTAAGTCACAGAAAGTTATTTCCACCTGATAAAAATATCTTTTTGCTTTAAGCCAAATGATTTTTTTGGAGCAATCTATCTCTAATTCATGACTACGATATACATGGCTTAAGACTTTAGTAAACATGTTTTAGAAATTAAAAACATGTGAGTATAAAAAAAGTATCTTTTAACATTTCAGAAATTAATTCTAATGGTTAGAAACCTCTTTGTTTGGAAAACATTTTAAGCCAGGTGATTTAATGATAGCTCTTCAATTTGTTCTTCCTATAATATGGCATAGTTTACATTTATTTAATCATAAATACTTATATGCTAAATTTTATAGGCTAGATAACACACTTTTTCACTTAATTTTTTTCAGCGTTGGATTGGTTATAAAATTTAAATAGAAAAAGTGGTACAGCCCATTCCTTTCATCAGGCATAATCACTTAAAAATAAACTTTCCAAGGTCCCATTAACCTTCAACTTGTGAAATCCAATGACCATTTCAACATGATAATCTTACTCAATCTCTCATTTGTATTTGTTTAGTTGAATTCTCTCCCCTTGAAACACGTTTTGTTGGCTTCAGTATCAGAAAATTCCCTTCATGGTGCTTTTACCTCATTGGCTGTTTCTCTATCTTCTCTGACTCCTTTCCCTTTAACTGTTTTCTAAATCTTGGGCTAATTTAGGTCTCAAACTTGAGTCTTATCTTCTCCATATAAACCATTTTTTTGGTGTGATTTTATCCAGTCTCCTGGCTTAAAACTACTATCTATATGCTGATGATATTCTAATTTACATGGACAGTCCTGATGTTTATCTTGAAAATCAGGCTCATATTTTCAGTGGTCTGGTCTGAAAATCCCTACCTCTGGATGTTTAAGAGCCAATCAAGACTCAAATTAACCAAAAAGGAACTTTCATTTTTCTAGCTTCCCCTGCTCCCCTCAAAGTCAGGTATTGCAATCCTGACTCCAAGGGTCTTGGGAGTATTTGGGGAGACATTGTATCTTGAAGGGGGATCTGGGACATCACTGTTATTTGTGTGGGAACACTTTGGGGTGTTAGTATGCAGATGGGAGTTCTGAGGAACCGGCCCAGGAAAGGCTGGGGAGAGCGATGGCAGGCGATGCTGAACAGCACTGCCTTCGGTGACCCAGGCCAGGCTTTGGTCTGGCTCCTCCCACACAGTCTATCACCTCTAATTCCATGGAGCTGCAAACCATCCAATTACCTATATCAAAATGGAAACAGCCACCCAATCCTCAGTCCCCTCACCTCATTTCTCAGCTGGTCTTGTCTCTGCCCAAACCAAATTATGTCCTATTTGGTTCTCTCTCCTCAGCCTCTATTTCCCACAGTAAACCAAGCCATCATCGATTGCCTGAGCCATGGAGATAGCGTCTTTTCCACATTTAACCCTTTACAATTCATGCCAACATAGCAGCCAGAATGAATGGTTTTAAACATGGAGATTGGACTGTGGCTACTTTGCTTCACCTTCTAATAGATTTGAAATGAAAATAAATCCGTACACCTCTCTTTTTTCTCTGAGGGATCTATGTCGTTTCGTTCCTGCCTATATTGCACACCACCCTCCACCAAGCTCGCTGCCCTCCGTCCACACTGGCCATCTGGCTTTCTGTCACATATGCAGGCTCCAGATCGTCATAGCTTAGTTTGGGCCTGAAAGGTCTCTCCATTGGAGAAGTTATTTTCCGGCCGCCTTATCCATGGTGGTCTTATTTTCTTCCTGACATTTTCCATTTGATTACCTTCATGGTATTTAACACATAATATTTTCTAATTTTTTAATGTATTTCTTTTCTGACTCCCCACCTGCCATGCCAACATTAGAATATAACCAGGGGCTGTTCTATTTGTGTCTCACTAGCACAAAGTAGGCTCTTAGTAAATATTAGCTGAATAAGTACATTTTCCCTACCTCACTCATACATGGTTCTCCTAGGAGTTCATTTCTCCCGGTGGGGGCAAGAAGGAGGCCCCTGCTCTTGTTACTGCAGAAGTTCCCAGCTCAGCATACGGTCCCAACTACCCCTGCCCACTCTGGGGCTCTGAGAGTCTAGTCCTTAGAAGCAGGGCTCAGAGGAGCTCAGGTATTGCAATCCTGACTCCAAGGGTCTTAGGAGTATTTGGGGAGACATTGTATCTTGAAGGGGGATCTGGGACATCACTGTTATTTGTGTGGGAACACTTTGGGGTGTTAGTATGCAGATGAGTTCTGAGTTGGAGAAGTTATTTTCCGGCCGCCTTATCCATGGTGGTCTTATTTTCTTCCTGACATTTTCCATTTGATTACCTTCATGGTATTTAACACATAATATTTTCTAATTTTTTAATGTATTTCTTTTCTGACTCCCCACCTGCCATGCCAACATTAGAATATAACCAGGGGCTGTTCTATTTGTGTCTCACTAGCACAAAGTAGGCTCTTAGTAAATATTAGCTGAATAAGTACATTTTCCCTACCTCACTCATACATGGTTCTCCTAGGAGTTCATTTCTCCCGGTGGGGGCAAGAAGGAGGCCCCTGCTCTTGTTACTGCAGAAGTTCCCAGCTCAGCATACGGTCCCAACTACCCCTGCCCACTCTGGGGCTCTGAGAGTCTAGTCCTTAGAAGCAGGGCTCAGAGGAGCTCAGGTATTGCAATCCTGACTCCAAGGGTCTTAGGAGTATTTGGGGAGACATTGTATCTTGAAGGGGGATCTGGGACATCACTGTTATTTGTGTGGGAACACTTTGGGGTGTTAGTATGCAGATGGGAGTTCTGAGGAACCGGCCCAGGAAAGGCTGGGGAGAGCAATGGCAGGCCATGCTGAACAGCGCTGCCTTCGGTTGACCCCAGGCCAGGCTTTGGTCCTCTGGGTCGAAGGTCAAGTTACTCATGCTTGTCAGTGTTTATGGGTGATCAGTAGTTGAGCAAATTCATCAGACCTAAAACGCCCACAGGTTGTAATATTATCATTACAATGATAATATTAATTTATTGTAAAAAGTAATCTTAACCTGAGAACTGGAAGGCTGTGTCCATATAAGACATGGCACCTTTTTTGTAGTCCCCTGGGAGAGCAAAACCATAATCTGATTATTGTAGTGAGGAAATGGTGAAAACTAAAGGAGTTTGCAAGATGAGACAAAAAAGCTTGAAAACTTTCTTGCTATAGCGATATGTCAGTAGAATTGGAAGATCAATTTTTTATATAATGCCGTGTGCACAGCAGCCAATTTCTATGTTTGCCAAAGTCAAGTTGAGTGCCCAGCCCTGTTTTATAAACATCATTCTCTTCACACTGATCATGCAGTAGGCCCTGGAGAAATCAAAACTCACATATACCCCCACGTGCACACAGACTGAGCAGCTTCTCAAAAGCCTTTTCTCCTCATTTAAACGTCTGCCAATTAGGATTTAGAAAGTGTTTCTCAAAAGGAAAGTAAATGAAACTCAACTATTTGTTATGGTCAAAGAAGACAAGCATTGAGTCTATGTAATTAAAATGAACCTTTAAATATGCAAGTACATAAAATAAAATAAACTGAAATAGCTAAATGAATCTATCATATATAATCTTTCCTGCCTTTCTCTAAGATATTTTTTAAAATTAGTATTTATTTACTACTTTTTTGTATTCTAGGCTCACTATGTCATAGAGTAAGTCAGGCCAGCATACTTGTACTTATTAAAATTAAGAGCCTACACATATGGTATGGACCCAAAGCTCAGTAAGACTTTTTATTTATTTAGAACACAATGAATTGCTTTTATTTTGGTATGCATCCACATCTCAGCAATTAGTGGTCCTGAATAGAAAAGTGGAAAAACACAGCAATGTGCCAGGAAGTCAAGCCCGCCAATTTGGGGGTTCTGCCATGCACATCGTAAGACATTAAGCAGATAGAAGACTGGCAAGTTCAGGTAGCAGATGGTGGAGGGGTAGAGAGTGGAGGTTCATGCACTCAGAAGGGCTGCAGCTAACCAAAGGGAGAAAACAGATTATGAAGGACTTGATCAACGGGATTCGGGGTCAACTGATACAGCAGGTTTCCCCGGGAAAACAATGTTTGATGAGGTGCCTGGGATTCAAGCAGAGAAAAAAAAAATCACTGCAGATCCTCCTTGAATGTAAACAGAAACTATAATGTAGATAAACAAAGCAGAAAGTGCACCTGTTATCCAGAGGGGGGAAATAGGTATGATGAAATATCTTGTCTGTTTTGGGATGAAATGGTAGAAAGTAAAGATATGAACCAGTCTGCTGAAAGGCAGGACATCCATATCCTAGCAGGTTCTATAAGGAAAAAGAGGTAACAGATACTTAAGGGAGGTTTGATAGCATAAAGCTAAGCGAATCTGCACCAAATGCAGTTATATTTATTAATTTACCTCTATCATATTTGTTTTGTAATCCAAAATTCCTTCACAATCAAGAAATCCAAGAGGAGAGCTGGTGATGCCTGGTCGGTACAGCAATGATTATGGTGGGAAGGAGAGGGGAGAAGAAATGGCTCCTTAGTTAGAACATCCTCTCTTTTGCTCTTGGGTAGAAAGCCAGAGCGGATTAGGATGGTCTCTAAGTTGTAAGGCCAAAATGATTATGGTGGGAAGGAGAGGGGAGAAGAAATGGCTTCCTTAGTTAGAACATCCTCTCTTTTGCTCTCAGGTAGAAAGCCAGAGCTTTCTCCCGTTATAGCGGATTAGGATGGTCTCTAAGTTATGAGGCCAAGGCAGAGAGCGATGGTGAGAGGGCACAAGAAAGGGAATGGGCAGGTTGTTTAAGGTCGTCCAGGCTGTCCTGTGATTATTCGTAATGACAGCCTGAGCCTGGGCTGATTCCCAAGGAGCACCCACTGCCTCTTTCCACACATCCCCATGTTCTTCATACATCAGCCTTTTGGGTTTTCTGCCTGCTCTCCTCCCCTTTTTAAGATTGGGCTGCTGTTAGTACTTGTAATGTTTTAGGTATATTTTACTACTCTGAGTATGTTGGAGAAGAATGAGAAGTACACGGTGTGATTTGCATCTGTTCTTACAGCATCCGTTTTGTCTTTCTTCGTCGTTAGGTCTTTAGAAATGACTTTGAGAAATGAAAGCAGGTAATTTTTATCCATGAAGATGTCATTGGGCACAGAATCTGCTTGGGACAGGGAATATCTATCTCTCTGGCAAAACCAGCTGTTTTCTTTTGTTTAACAGGGGCCGTTTAACTGGTATTCAAACTCTTAGTAAGAAGCAAAATAGCCTTGTATACCTCAGGTGTCATATCTCTGAAACTCAGTGGAGTAAAGACGTAGAATAGAAAGCTTTATCATGAGAAGTAACACTTATTTTGGCGGGACAGGGAATATCTATCTCTCTGTCAAAACCAGCTGTTTTCTTTTGTTTAACAGGGGTCGTTTAACTGGTATTCAAACTCTTAGTAAGAAGCAAAATAGCCTTGATGGAAGGTGTCATATCTCTGAAACTCAGTGGAGGAAAGACGTAGAATAGAAAGCTTTATCATGAGAAGTGACACTTATTTTGGTTAACTGATCATTTAATTAAATATTGCCTATAATACTGTCATCTTTTAATGATTATTTGTATCATAGGCAACTTGTGTACTGATTGGTATTTTATTCTTTGTTCCATATGAAAACACACTGCATTTTTCCTGACTTCTTATTCTTAAATTTATGCTAAGCCCAGCAATATTATACATTCTGTCCTTCCTGTTGTTTTGTTTTATCAGACTTTAATATTATGTTTCTAGTCTTCAAAAACCCATTTGCCAAAGAGTTACACTGAAATTATATATATACTAGTGACCCAGTGCACGAATTTGTGCACATTAAAAGGGAATTAATTAGAGGAAATATTTTAATATTGCTATTTGCCCTTTCTCTATAATAGAAGTGTCAGAGATGAAAGAAAATTAGTAAAATGTATATGAAAATCTTCCTCCTGTCAGAGTCTGGGGCGCACTACAGGAACCAGAGTCAAGTCCCTGCCCACCCATGTGTGCCTTGAAATTACACGAGACCCAGACCCAGCCGGCCCCATCCTCATTGGGCTAGATCCAGACCCGGCCGGACTCACTCCCGTCAAGCCCTGCCAGGTGGGGGGGCGCAGCATCAGGTCGCCTAGCCTGGCGCCTGGGTGGGGGGCATGGCCTGAGGTCCCCCAGCCTGGGCTAGGAGGTCCTCTTCGAGGTGTGGCCTGAGGTTCCCCATCAAGCCATGCCAGGCAGGGGGCACAGCCTCAGGTCCCCCGGCCCAGTCTGGGGCGGGGGGTGTGCCTTGAGGTTCCCCATCAAGCACCACATGGCAAGGGGCATGGCCTCAGGTCCCATAGCTTGGCGTTGGGGCAGGGGGCGTGGCCTGAGGTCCCCTGTCAAGCCCTACCAGGTGGGGGGGCACAACCTCAGGTTCCCGTCAAGCCCCGCCAGGTGGGGGGTGCAGCCTCAGGTTGCCTAGCCTGGTGCCGGGGCTGGGGGCACGGCCTGAGGTCCCCCGGCCTGGGCTAGGAGGTGCTCTTCGAGGTCCCCTGGCCTAGGCCAGGGGGTGTGGCCTGAGGTCCCCCATCAAGCCATGCCAGGCAGGGGGCACAGCCTCAGGTCCCCCAGCCCAGTCTAGGGCAGGGTGTGTGCCTTGAGGTTCCCCATCAAGCACCGCATGGCAAGGGGCATGGCCTCAGGTCCCATAGCCCGGCGTTGGGGCAGGGGGTGCAGCCTGAGGTCCCCTGTCAAGCCCCACCAGGCCGGGGGGCACAACCTCAGGTTCCCTGCCTGGGCCCAGCGCCACACAGCCTCAGGTCCCTGCTGTTTGCTCATTAAGGCTCCTTACGGGAACTCAGCCTCTGCTGTGGGTGCAGCCATCTTGACCATTATGGCTTGATGCTCAATTTGCATATTCCTTCTTTATTAGATAAGATATATAGTTTGTTTTCATAGACACATTTAAAAATACTTAAATAAAATGGATTCAGAGACTACAGGATCTTCTAAGGTCAAATAAGGAGAGAGAACAGCATAATATAAAAGAATAACTGCCAACAAGTTGTACACAATAAAAATGAGCAGGCTTGAGCTTTGCTTATTGAAGGGAAGCTTTCCCCGTACTTCTTCTGCCTTCCTCTGCTTCTTCTACCTTTTCCCTCTTTCTCTTACATCACCATCTGAAGCAACTCCAGCCTCTTTCTGATCCTTTTGCACCCTGAAGATCTGTCAAACCTCATGTTTGCTGCTCCCTTTCCTCCTCACATCAGTTAAATGGTACAATATGGTGGTGTCATTCACATAAAACCATTAAGTCAAAATTTGTACACACTGCCCCCAAATACTTGGCTACAATTACAATCTGTTACCATATGTTAAAGATCATATTGAGGGGAGGACCAATTCTTCAGAAGAGAGTCAATTGTTAGTTTTTGACTATTTTAATCTGAAATATTATCCAAAGTTTCATGTAAAATTCTTAAATTCTAGCATGCACTTGGTGCCACAAAAATGGGTAAATGTGATTAATTCAAATAAGTAGAATGAATTTATTTATCTAACTATCAATTCATCCACCCATCTTCCCAGTTTATAAAGTAATATCAAAATAGGTTGAAAGATGTGTACATTATAAACCAAGTTTTATTAATATTCAGTCAAGTTTTCCCTTTTTGTCATTTCTCCAGAAATCATATATCTAGAGAGTGGTTGTCTTTAGATCTCAAATGGAGAACTATTTCCATGAAGTTTCTTACATAAAGTTCAAACACAATATTGCTGGCTTCCTGGTCCTATTCATAGTCTCTATTTTTCTTCTCTTCTTTTTGAAGAGTATAAATATAGGCTCATTTGATAGAGTAGAAATGTTACATAAGGCAAACCTCCCCAGTTTAGTCATGACTTTCTACCTGTGAAACTATTTCCCAGAGGCATGATAGAGAAAACAAAAAGCATGTATTTTATAATACATAGACAAGGAAAATAGACAAGATCTTCAATAGCAGGAAGGAAATGCTGATTCGAAAATAAGCTGTAACTCAGAGGCATGATAGAGAAAACAAAAAGCATGTATTTTATAAACAATCAGGAAAATAGACAAGATCTTCAATAGTAGGAAGGAAATGCTGATTCAAAAATAAGCTGTAACTCAATCTCTCACTCTCCCTGTTTCTTTTTACAATGACAAAGTCTTAAAATCCTTTGTGTAAGGAGTAGAGTGACTAGACCCTGCACAGCTGCACAGAAGTCTAGGAGCATCTTGTACATTGTATAGGGCAGGTGCTGGTTCAGCAAATACTGTATATATTTCAACAACTACATTAGTTTACTCTTTTTTAAAAAAAGCAACACTCAACAACTCCATATGAGACATGGACCAGTATTTGAGGGTATGTTTGAAAAATAGGTATCTGCTATGATATGTCTGAATGTGTCTCTCCCAAATTCATATGTTGAAATCTTAATATTCAATGTGATGATATTAGGAGGTGGGGCCTTTGGGTGGCGATTAGGTAATGAGAACAGAGCTCTCTTCAATGGGATTAGTGTTCTTATAAAAAGATCCTGCAGATCCCTAGCCCCTCCACCATCTCAGGACACAGCGAAAAAGGCAGTCTATGAACCAGGAAGGGAGCGCTCACCTCCAGAACTGTTAATAAACTGCTGTTGATCAACTACCAAGTCTGTGGTATTTTGTTATAGCAGCCCAAACAGACCAAGACAGTATCCTTAAAAAAATTGGATAAAAGTAATATGTACAATAATATCCTGATGAAAGAAAGCTATTAGCTGATTGTGTTCGTATGTGTATTGTAATTACCGATGTTGTGTTGGAATTTTTTCTCCTGGAACTGACTGGTAGTCACAGAGGTCTGAGAAATAATTTCTTCTGACCTATAAGCTGGATCACTTCTCAATTAATAATTCTACCCCTGAGGGTCTCACTAGCTATGTTATTCATGGATTTCCTGCCAGCCACTTGGTATTCTAGAAAGATCATCGTTTGATGGATAATTTTTATAGCGGCTGCAATGTTTGCAAATAGCAAATGACTTTTTTTTTTGGAGTGTTGCTGTATTACACCTGCTTGTGGTACAGAACTTGTTTGCCAGAGGGGCCCTGGTCTTACTTCTAGCATAGATTCCTATTTGACATTTTAAAATTAATGTTTTTCTAAAAACTCCCCTGATTTTGTCTCCAACTCTCTTGCCTGTAGGATCAACCACTATTCTATCTTACCTGTGTTGAAGGCTTGCAATTTTTGGGGGGATTGTATTGTACATATAGTTTTTTGAAGAATTTTATGTTCTTTCTTGTTTCTTTAAATCTAAGCCAAATTCTGAGCTCCTACTTAAAATTATATTTTTTCCTTTTTCATTTGTTCAGAACGTTAGCAATCTTAGCATTGACTAAATGAAAGGGGCAGCTATAGGATCCCACACCTTAATTAGTAGTCTTAGCCAATGGTCCATGGACTCTTAAGGAATTCATGGATAAAATTCAGATGGATTCAGGGGACTCTATGATAGTTATGATTTCATAGGCATTTTCCTGACAGTTTTGAGAGCTTTCATTAAATTATCAAAAGTTGTGTGGTTTGAATATTTAGGGGGGACATCAATGTCATATATTGTCGATATAGTCAGTTTGAACATACAAAGGAGATGTCTGTGAAAACGTCATTATTTTACAGCCACAGAAGAACCAAATAGCCACTAGGGGGCGTAAAAACCTAAATTAAAGTTTAAAAACAAACCAGGATCCTTCTCGGTTTTCACAAGCTAAGAGAGTATTTTCAGGAAAGTACCCGTACTGATTCCTTATCTTTGCCTGTATACAGTCAATATTTAGGATCTATTTTGGGCATTTTATTCCTCTAGAAATAGTTGAATAGGACCAAACCTCACCATTTTATAGATTATCTATGATCACGGTGTTTCCAAAAAGATGTCAAATAATTCTGAAAGCATAATTCTATTTCTTTTAGAAGGATAAGTGAATTTCTATAATGTGAGATATAACTGAAGCATAATTTCAAACATGAAGCCCTCTACCCAAGCCCTTACTGTGGAAATTAGGGGAAATTAAAAGATTTGGTTTGTGTATAGAAAGGGGGAAAATCAAGGAAAAGGCTAATGAGATGTTTTTAGTACATCTTCTCACATTTATGCTTCAAGCTCAATATAAGATTTCAGTAGGGTGTACTGTGTTCCCCTAGCTTGTGTCTTTTCCAAAAACAAGTTCTTTTCTGTTTCCTATATTTTCTCTTGCTTTTAAAAGCTTCAAATGAGGCTTTAAAGATAATACATGAGACACACATTTATAACCTAGAATCCTAATAAAAATGTTTTTTTACCTGAATAAATACTATCAGTAAAAGTCTCTACAGCCTCTTTTAAAAATACTTTTAAAGTATGCTTTTCAGAGCTTACATTTCTAACACTTACTTTATTCTTCATTAAAATAGTTATGAAAACAATTGTACATTGATCATTGTGAGGCACACATTCAAAAACAAAAACGTGAAGGGCTGGCTTTCCCAGCTGTGGGACCACCGGAAATATTTTAACTTGCATTTGGTTCCTAGTTTTTGTTGCCTGGAGCTATCCTTTCACTCTCACATATCGTAGAGTCTGATCATGTCAGTCTCCCACATGAAAGCCTTCATTGTCTCTCCATCACCTGCAGGAAAAAGCTCCGGCTCCTTAGCATGGCACACACAGCCCCTCAGGACTCTGCCACCCCATCCTCCACGGCCCACCCACACATCCTCTGTGTTCCAATTGGAACGAATAACTTTCTATTTACATATACTGTTCTTAGTAGAACATTCCCCTTTGTGTGAGTCCTTTGGGTGAACTAATTTACATGGATAAAGCTCAAGCATCAGTCCTTATTTGAAGAACTTCTTGACTATGTTATCTCCAGCCAATAAAAGTAACATTCTCCCTCTTCAATGCCTCCAATGCTGCTTGCACCTAATAGACTACAATTGGGTTTTTACAGTTCTATTTTCTCCCATGAAACTATGAGTCCCAGGAGGTCAAGGATCATGTCATCATTATAAACCCAAGTTCATTGCTGAGCAAATAGTTGAAACTCAATAACTGGTTATTGCTTAAGTAAATCCTTCAGGGAGAGGTTTGATGGTAAACAATAAATGTGGGAGAGAGTGGAGGGCAATACACACAGACTGCTCTTTCTCTTCACCAGCTTTCCTTTTCCTCTCAGGCCCAGCACCATCTCATCTCCTCAGTTTGTCTCAATTCCTCTGCAGATACTTAGATGATATGCCCAGAATAACCTAGTTCTACAGTCAATTAATCTTACTTTTTATACCCAGAGGGATCATTTTTTAACCGACATGATTTTAAATGAACAGAGAAGCTGAGAGACGTGACACTTTTCCAGTTTCTACCTATTTTTCATTGTCACACGCTTAACCAATATGTATCCGGCCAGAATTTCAAAATACAAATCCCCCACATTTGACAGACTTCGCAATCCTTAAATGCCAAACAATTTGGATGCATATGACTGCTGGTCCTTTGACTCTCACATATTATCCTGGATCTCTCCATACCTCTCCTAGCATCTCTCAGGTGATGCTAATCTTAGATAGTGAGCATAGCAATTTTCTGAAAATGCCATTGATTTTTATCTATTGTTCTCAACAAGGTCCCTTCCGGTTATGCCCTGAGAGTGTATTGGAGGAGGTATGCTTGTCTTCCACCAGAATAGAGTCAATCCATCATGTAAATCAAGGTCCCAGTGAATGCCAGGGCAATTTGGCTGTGGGTTGATGGCACCAGCTCCAAAGGATGTGTGTTTTGGTCTTGCATCCAAAGGGTTTCATTTTCCACATTGTCAGCTGCTCTCACACTGTGAGCTTTCTTCAGTTGCCTGCTGCGGTTGCTCCCATCTCTTCCTGTCCTTTGAAAGGTAACTCTGTTGGAGGAAGCTTCCCACTGTGCAAGGTTCCAAGTCGCTGCTGCTGTCACCTAAGGAGCCAAATCCAATGCATTTTGACTGTCATGCTCCTTAGCAGGTCTTCTTATAACCAGCCACCTATTCCATTTGCTGATACCACCAAAATTCATTGCTTATAATCCATTCAAAGACTCCTAGGTGCCTTGGCCGTGGAAGAAGGAGGGGGGTTGATCCCTAGGGTTATGCCTGCAGCGCCAGTCTTAGAAGAGGATGCAGTAAGGCAGCATAAAGGCAGGAAGAGGAGATGTTT